ACGTTTCCTGATAGTGAACGTAGGGAAATCGAACAAGTCGTTCGATGAAGGACAAGGGATCTGACTTAAAAGTGTGGAGCCGGCCGTGTCGTAGACTCTACGTTTCTTTAGTAAGAAACGGAGGACAGTTCAAATTAGTTGTTCGCATTATGACGAGGCATTAGTTCTTACAAAAGTGATGACGACAGTGTCGTATGCTGTCGAAGTGAACAGAGGATAGGTCGAACAAGTTGTTCGCTGCGGGAGAAAGAATTTTCTTAAAAGCGTGATAATCTCTACAATCTCCAGTAGCAAATGGAGGAAAATTCAAACATGTTGTTTGAGCATGATAAAATCACAGGAAAACATTCGGCATGATGCACCACAGAGTCAGCAGAGAATTATGGTCAGTTAAGATATTCCGGCCCTCGTATAGGTAAGGGGCACGGAATATATTAGTCAACCTTCTTATTCTGGAAACAGGCCGCGACTGTCTTGAAAACGCTGTTCGTCGGTGACGTCAGAAAATGCGCGGGAAAAATTCAAATCCTGTCCATACTGGAACCAGGAGCAGCTAGCCAGCAACCTTCCTCACGACAGCCAAAAAGGGGCTGTTTACTGCTATGTCTAGCTGAACGTGACAGGAAGGGGTGCAATCCGCGCGCGCACGTAAAAAGGGTGGAATCCACGATTCCACAACTACATCAACTCGGACTGTTACATCCATCTGCCCCTCATACTATGGTGCACTGAAACTTGATACATTATGCTTTTATTTGCACCTGGTGAATGGATGTACTAGTGGACACAAAATGCATGCAAATAATTAACAGCAAAATACTGGGCTCAATTTGAATGCATAGTACTTCTTACGAATAACATAATAACTATAGAATGTGAAATTTTGCAGATTAATAATTTAATATATGTTTTAAATGCTATGTAGTTTTTATCTTTTTGTACAAATTATAAGTTAATTAAATTTTATTTTTGTAGTTTAAACTCGAAAGACTGCCTTAAAATTCCTTAGCAGACGTTAATTCTGAGTGACAAAACATAGATGTTGTATTTCACGTATTGTTTTGCTGTTTGTAAACTAAATTCCACTTCTGTCACCGTCTTTCGTACACTCCATATTTTTAGCTTTTTTGTAGACTAAATTCCTCTTCTCTCACCGTCTTTCGTACACTCCATCTTATTTTCTCAACTCCCGTCCTATGAACGCCGTGACTCCGCGTTAATTTCTTTTGCCAGCTTAAAATAAACAATATATAGCTTTCACACGAGACTCTTTTTTTTACGTACAGACGCCAATGAGATCATTTTTTTAACCACAATTTTAACCTGGTATCTTGATATCATATCTTATTAATTTTCAATAAAACGAGGTTTTTATCTTGTCAAATATTAACTAATAAATATATTCTAATAATGAGTGCCCTATAATTTGAATCTGTCGAATCTGTTTGTTTTACCAAATCTTAATTTAAACAGGTTTTAAAAGGTTTTCTTTACAATCACTACAGCATTTCACAAAAACATTTTATTTCCTTTTTTGAGAAGGAATTGTAAATTACAAAATAACAATTACTCATCAACATCCTTGATTTTATCAAATTGTTTAAAACATCCTTGTTAAACAATAGAGTCTAACAGACTATTAATTTTTAGAGAATTATATTCTCCTCTGCTTTTCTCATTTTGATCTTTGAGGTCAGATACAGGAAAACAGAGGAAGACGTTTTTAATTGGTTAAAAGTAAAACTAGCATGGGAATGTTACAGATAGAAAGGGATTTCTACACATTTTCTACACATCGAAAAATGTAAATATGGTAGATCTCACAAGTGGAACAGCCTGAAGCATCTATTTATCCGAATTCGAAACAGTGTGAATGAGTTTAATAAGAAGGAATACTGCTGGAGAATGTTGAAATGCTGATGATACTTGCTGTCACTTGATCTCCAGTGTCAAACCTGTGATGATAGTCTACTGATGCCAAAACTGTGTAAAAAAAACCATGATTCATATTTGAATCATGTATAACAACTAATTTCTTATTATGAATAACTAAGCAGCTGAAAAATAGAAAGTAATCTTTGTAATATTGGCTATTAAGGTAACTCATGTTGTTTTTGTCAAATTAATATCAACATAAAGCAAATTTAGTTCTTGCTATCCTCTATAATTTGAATATAAATATATCAACTGAAACGAATTCCAGTAAGAAAAAAAATAACAATTCAAGGGAGACAACTCTTACTGCCTTATTTTTCAAACTGGAATAATGTATATTCCTTTGTTTTGGAGAGTGGTAAGCAAACAAGTCTTGCCGTTTTGAGGCATGATACTTTATGAAAATACGACAATTCTTCTTTCATGAGACTTTTCCCAGCAAGAACAATATAAGAAGTATGTTTTCTATAAATCTGAGTTAAAAAAGAATATATATTTCATAAAATCACATCAGAAGATTTATATGATAAACTAAACAATATTTACTAGGGCAATACTACCAAAATACTTGTGGATGTAGTTGTAGACCTACCACGTATTATTTTTGGACCATTTAGAAAATAACAATAATAACTCCATCATTTCACGCAAATTTGAGAAAAAGTTTTCACAAGACAGTCTAAAATTATTTTCTTACTAATGAAAACCTTGTATTCAAAAAGTTCACACCTCTATGTGAAATTAAATTTTGGATCTTCCTTACAGATATAAAAATAGAAGCCTACTGCTTCTCGAGGGTTCAAACCAATTTTGGAGGCCTGTTTGATCTACACATGCATACACATGTACCCACATACATGCACACAACGGAAGAGATGAGCCAGCAGTCACCAACTAAAGCCTTGTCCACACACACACGGAAACATTAGGCTGAGTATCATAACGTAAGTCTGTCCACATATCTCACATTGCTCTACAAAGATTTAATTACTTTTTTAAACAAACTTCACTGCAAGGAAAATTGAATATTTTATTGCCATTGTATATTTCTGAAAAGAAGTTTTAAATGTTATTTCAACTGACGTTCTGTTTCTACTTTACCTTCAGAAAATAGTCTTTTTTATGTTTCATTTAAAAGATGTATTGTTGTTGTTGTTTAAGTAATTTTCCAAGCATAGCTTAGATGTGGCACAAGGCCGGACATATGGGGCACCCAGTGAGGATCAAACTCACTATTCAGTTGTAATTGTTCTAGTGAGACAAGCTTGCTACTCATTACACTACATTGAGGTACCCTGTTGTTGTTGTTAAATATTTGGAATCACGATCCTCAGATAAAAACAAAAACATTGGTAGATGGATCCCAACATATATATTGGTGGTAATTCCATTTAAAGCAATGATTTTCAACTGCCATGCTATGGCTTACTAGTGTGCTGCATGATCCACTTAAGTTTGCTGCAAAATATTGTCATAGCATACATATATATGTATACAGAAGTAGTAATCGTATAGCATTAGTATTTGAATAAATAAATAAGTATGAAACTTTTTTAAAATAATACCAAGCGAGTATTCCCAAGTGAGCATTTATCTAGGTATTAACCAAATTCAATATTGCTTAACTTTGGTGATCATATGGGAACCAATGCTTCAACATGATATGGCCATAAGCTTAAAGTCAGTTTGTGTAAGATTTTGGAAATAAAGTATTGTCATTTTTCAATCCTGGCTTGTTTTTCTTTCATTAGCTTTATTGTAACACATGTGTTTTTATATGTCGCACTAGTTGGGGTTGGGGAAAATTTGGCCTTGTAAAAATATTCAACATGCCCACAAAGAAAAGGGAAAGAAGAAAGCAGATAATGTATTAAACCAAATCTTTTATATTCCAGTAATTGAGGTGATTTTTGCAAAAATGTTTTCGGTTTGCTTTTCCTTTTTTATAGGCCAGGTTCTGCTTGTGGAGATAGTTTTCATACAACCAGAAATATATTAGACATGGGAAGATTTCTTACCGACTTCAACTCAGATTCTACATCTTTCAGTTACTCAAAGTATCACTCCAACTGCCTACTTGTTACAGTAACCATTATTTATGTCAGATGCACAGACATAGAAGTAAAAAAAAATTTTAAATCAATATTTAACAGCTCAATTTTAATTTGTTACTTAAAGTGTATAAAATTTCTAATAATAATTTCTTTGTAGTAAAACATTCAATCTCTAGGCAAGTAGACATTAATCTCACTGTTCAAACAAAAACTGGGATGTCTACTCAAAACAAACAATTATCCCCAATAAATATACCATTTATAGTTTTGTATTCCATTAGTAAAGATGAAGTGCTACTCAAACAGTTTCTTACCCAGAAGTGCTACTTTCTAGAACAGGCTTCTGAGAGGATGCTGCTCAATCCACACCATATTCCATGATCTTCAGCTGTTGGTAAAGAGCTTGGAGAGAAGATGGGTGCCGCCAAGCTATCTAAAAAGCCACTAAAAGGATCATGAGGAAGAAGAATCAAAGTAACACCATGTCGGATTAGTCAAAGATTAGATCAAGAATGGCTATGCATCCCATTGACTCACTCCAGGATAGGCATGATAAGTGAGTGACAAACACCATCATGCTACCAACACAAGTTACAACCAATGGAATGTGAAAAGTTCACACCCTCTGTGCTTTTAGAGAAAGTGTGGATCGACATGATAATGCCAGAACTGCTGAGAGCCACCGGCAACAGATCAGACTAGAGGGCGTTGTCCTGTCGCAGTGTGCCCAAACACCACTCCCACCGTTTCTTAAACAACCCCGGCTATGCCTGCCGATAGAGAAAGGTCACGGTCCTTGTGTGCTAAAAATAGCAACGACATCCTTCCAAAACTGTCAGAAACACACAAAACTCAATTTTCGCCACTAAACAAAAATAAAAGACCTTTAATTTCGAACCAAAATTAATTTAAATACAGTCAACAAACACCGAACACACTTTTGACTGTAATTAATACGGCCCGGAATTAATTATATTCATTTACTTGTTTAGCGTCACCGCTTTCTCTTGTATGAACCGTCATACCTATATCCCCGAGACTTGGCAGCGGTTTTTAGCCGGCCCGGGGGAGCAGGAAGCCTCCCTGATTCGCGACTTTGACGCGCCCAGTCAAGCTGCTGGGATTCCAGCAGCTGACGGGACCCAGCAGCAGTTGTTCAAACAGTCTTTTTCAGGGCTAACTTCCCAAAGTCATTCGATCACCACTCTTCGAGACTCCACTCACTTCACTCTTCGCTACTGCCTTCCCTCTGTGACGCCAGCACTCCTGCAGGCCTTCAGCTCCAGCTTCCCTGCAGCCTTCAGCTCATTCCTGCACCTTCCAGCACTCCTGCACCTTCAGCTTCCAGCTCCAGCTCCTGCAGTTTCCAGCTCAGCTCACCTCACCCTGCGGCGCTTTACTGACGTCCCGCGACCTATTCCATCACCCGCTGACGACCTTATCCAGTGCCCACTGACGTCTAGCGCCCGTTATCGTCCGGATCAAACGACCTCTGTCTTTTTTACCATCCACCGCTTGCAAATAAAGACACGATTTCCATCGTCTACAACGGACCATCTGCGTTTGTCATCCTTCTTTGCTATTGCCATCTCCTTGCCCTTGTGTCCTTTTTTTAGTTGTACGGTCGATTGGCACTCACACCTCTCGGCCCGCTGCAACAGTCCGTTTCTTTGACCCCCATTGTTTGAAACAGTGAAAATATTGATGATGATGATTTGTTTGATTTTGTTATCTCCAATTTGTAATTTGCATATTGGACCGCTCCTTTTGCTAACAACCAGGCATTCAATCTTCTTGCTTTTCTTTACTAGCCTCTGTAGGAGTTCTTGTATTTTGCTTTCTGTGTCTGTTATCAACACTGGGTCATCTACATATCTAATGTTGTTAAGACTGTGGCCACCAATAATAAATCTTGGTAGGACTTCTAATTCACTCAGAATCATCTGTATAGGTTGAATAATTTTTTTTGTTTCATTTCATCCCAAGCAAGACAACAGAGCCACTAACATGAAGGGGGTTACTGAGTGTGAAAAAATATAAGAAAAACATTATTAAGGATCAAAAACAATAAAAGAACAGAATTTAAGAGGACAGAAGATAACAAATGACATTGAATTTAAATTTTTAAAGTTCAAACTTGACTAGAAAGCAAGAAGCCAGAACAGAGTTCCACAAGTGGGAAGTGTGAGAAAAACTGTTAGAATAGAACTTTCACTTACATCCGGCCATTTTGACTATGAAATGAGATCTTGCTGCTAATCTAGTATTGCACTTAAAGTCTGGTGAGAAGGCACATCCTTGTCTTCCACTCTACCCTTTCTATTTTTACTGAATTCATTTTCGGTTTGTATGCAGGTGGTTTGCTGCCAGTACAGGTTCTGGCTTATTATCCTTCCCAAATATATCAAGGTTATTGTAACACTAGAGAAAATGGCTTACTCACAGGACAAGAACAGATTCGAACGTGTCTCACATGTAAAACATTCCTAAAAAGAAAATGGTGGCTTTATGAGTCTTATATTAAAAAAATAGTTCTCCGAGTGAGAGAGACTCTCACAAGAATCTCTTTCAACATATGCAAATTTGAACTGGCACTTAAATCTATAAAAGGCGCTTAGAGAGACGACAGAGAAAGGGTCCGACTTCAGTAACAAACAGAAGACACATGTTGTTGGATTGTCTGACAGGTGACTTTGAAGGTTGGAGGAAACAAATTAGAGAATCTTATTACAAGCTAGAAGAAACTGACTGCAGTTATTTATGCCAGTGTTTTTCAAACAGTGGGTCCCAACACTTCAGTGGATCATGAGATAAATAAAATGGGTCACAACAAAAAAGAAAGAAAGAAAAGAAAAATACACAAGTGAGAGCAAAGTGCAGAAGATAAAATGCTGCATAGAACTAATAACTCATTGCTAGTTTTCACTGAAGTAAGTTTGAATTATATATATATATTTTTTTTTTTTTTTTTTACATATACATATATATATATATATATATATATATATTACACACCTGGTATAACATCAAAATTGGCCAATTGCTAAATTAACCTCTCAACCATTGTATATATCTTACTGGAATTCTCCCAGGTTTTTATAACACTATGGACTATTTCAGGCAATAAGAATGTACAATTAGTATCTAAGCTTAACAGAAGTACCATGATGAAATTTATCATAAACGAAAATGACATGTTCATCATTAATTAATCATAGCTAAGGATTGGGAGCTTATGAAGTATTGAAATAAAGTTCAAATTATATATAATTGCAGAATCATTTTCCAAATTATTCAAGATGATCTTCATCCTCTCTAACCTTCTGGAGTAACAAGATGCTTCACAGGTTTCACATATGATTTCATTTTCAAGTTTTTTTTTTTCACTGCTTTCGACTTCCATAACTGAAACTCCTCTTTCTCACATGCCAAATGTCTTATGAATTGAGTTGGATCTTTTCTAGTTGATATCTTTAGCACTAAGTTGAAATGATGATCCCTCTTTCTGTTGTGACCTCCTGATCCAGTTTTCCTCTCTAGTGCTCCCTTTTTTTTTTCAAAACTTATTAACCATTCTCTTGATGGTTTTTGAATGAACTTTAAAGATGGAAGCCAGAATATTAATGTTAGTACCAATACTGAAGGCCTCAATGATCTTTTTCCTCTCACCGTTGCTCATTTGGGAAGACAGTAGGTCTGACACAAAACAATTTAACCTTTATTTTTATCTGGATAACTCAAACGGTTTGTCAGTGATTCTTATGAAAAATGGTGCCAAGATGGCTAAACAACTTATCTGAAAACCTGGAAAAAAATTCTATTAGTTTAGTGTTTTTTTTTTTTACATGTATTAAACATTTTGTGTTATGGATAATTATGCTGTAACACAATTTGAACAATTCTGCTGTTACACTTGATTATATATATATATATATATATATATATATATATATATATATATATATATATATATTACACACAGTGGGGTGGGGAAACAAATATTCATACACATACAAATTTTTAATATATGGTCTTTCCAAATAATGAATAAACATACTTTTCATATAATTCACTGTACACAGAGGCATAACTAAATATTCATAGAAAACAGAAAAAAATTGATCTAATAGAAATAAATCCCATTTATCCATTTTAATGGGTGAAAAGTATTTGTACAATAGAAAAAAATACATAACCTTCATTTAAAACTTTGTAGAATAGCCATTATTCACTTCTACAGCAACCAACCTCTTCTTGCTATTCTCAATGATTTGCAAAGTTAGATATAAAATAAATTAAAAATTTGTATGTGTACGAATATTTGTTTCCCCCGCTCCCCTGTACATAGTCTGTTCTCATTGAGTTTATATATCTTGTTTATCAAACTTGTTGTTGACTGTGTGATGTCAGTTTTCTCCCACAAAGAGTCATTGTACCAAAAACTTAGCTACAAAAGGTGTGCAATTGGAATCAGCTGCTTATGAACAAACAAGCACATCAATCTCATTAATGACATTTTTCAAATATTATTCATTTTACCTTTGTGCCGAAATTTCCTTTAAATTTGTTTTTCTAAAAATAATTATTTTCTATTCATACAAATAATTAATACACATAGATACATGCAATTCCAATATGTGTGGGTCATAATATACATTGTCGATATTAAATAAATGAACTTTGTGATCAGAATTTGTCTTTGATTTATTACACTTAGATATAATAGATCCCAATGTGAAATGTAGTTCTTCTGGATTGCAATAGGAAAAAAGTTTGAAAAATGCTGATCTAAGGCAACTCATGGCTTTTAATATATAAAAATAAGTAAATTATATGCTTTAAAAACATGCTTTAACAACATCTGAATTAATTATATGCTTTAACAACATCTGAATTAATCTCGCTTTACATAAATTATATAAAATGTCAAGAATTGCAGATAATTATTGGTTGCTAGGAGTTCATGAAACAAAGTTACAGAATAATTTTAGATTTTCACTGAAAAATATATTAAAAGATCATTTCATTCTTTTATTAAATGAAACATTGTCATAATTAATAATGGTTAATATCAAAAAGATGTTTACAAAATTTACAATTGATGAATATTGGATATTTTTAACAAGACTTCCAAATAAAAAGAAATTTCACATAGATATTTAGAAAAATAAAACAGCAATGTTTTTGTGAACACATTCAAGTCATTTGCATTAAAATCAGACATTAACAAAATTAGTTTTCTTTTTCTTTTTAATGGTGGTTATAAGGAAAAATTCAATCAATGATTCATTTGCAGAAAAAGGTCACTTAATTCTGTGTATGAATATTTTATAAACATTTAATAGATTTGAAAAAGAAATCCTTTTATAAGAGTTTATGATTATCATCATCTGTGAAAGTCTGTATCACTAATGTTGGTAAGATAATGGCCAGGCAAGAGAGAAGCAGCTATTTTTTTTTTATGGCAATATATTGAAAAACAATGATTGTTTATGTCTCACATGAATTTTAAAATTCAATCAGAAAATGGAAAAATACCATGCATTGATAAAGAATACTTCTTTGGACTTGATTGTTTGGAAAATAAATTTATACACTGATCTCAAAAAAAGGTCAATGCATAGTTGAGGACCGGATTTTTAAGAGTTTTTGACGATGCCAGATTCATTCAAAAATTTAAAAACTATACAAATTTATAAAATAAATTATACTACGAAAAAAAAAAAAAAAAAAAAAAGTATCCCCATTTTTATTTTTTTGAGGTGTGAAATTATTGCATTCTGAATCTTAAAAACTTTCTTTTTTTAAAAATTGAGTTTCTGTTTCAGTTTTGTTTTGACTGAATCAAAAGTTCTTCAGCTTGGCTATCAACAACCGACAAAGAAATGCCAAGCTGAGCTGCATAATATGTAGACATTACAATGGTGTGAGAAAATGGCACAGGTGTTCGGAACTTGTCGATGGCAATAACAAAGTCAGAGATGAGGGATAAAATGGAGCCCGGCACAGCCGCATAATTTAGTCCATGTCCACAGCTCATCAAAAAACTGGACCCTGGCAATTGCTCGCCATGCCATGGTCAGTATTAGAACCATATATAGGGCTACCAAACAGAGGAGGACACCTTTCAGATCAGATGCTACGTAGTAATACCCGGTGATTCCGATGACGGACAATACTCCGAGGCGTATGGGTTAAAAGGTTTCCAGCCAAAAGTTCGAGCATACATCACTTGGGGAAACGGCAAACATGGCAATGCCGTGCATGAAATAATTCTGTTTCCAGACAAGAAAAGCATCACCAAGGCAACTGAAGATAAGTCCAACCAAGATTCTTCTTGAATATCGGTAGTAAATACTGAAACTCATGCCTTGAAGAAGGACAAAAAGCATGAGAGAGATGATGGGCAGACATTTGAAGAGACAACAAAAAATGGTCGGTGGATTCTCATCGGGGTACAGGACAAAATACAGTGCAACTGTCTTGAAGAATGGCACCAGCTTTGGTCCAATGCTTTTTAACTAAAAAAAAAGAAAGAAATTCGTGTTAGTTTTCACATCATTCCAAAATTCAAAACATGAAAGCAAAGAAATATAATTTCAGTTTTTGTGTTAAAATTTTCTTGACCCACTAAAATTAGGGTTTCCATAATAAATAAATAAAAACAAATCAGT